ATCTGTTTGCATCTATCTATTTCAACCTGTTCGTATCTATCTATCTTTCTCAATCTGTTTATATCTATCTTTCTATCAATCAATCTCATTCGGTTTGTATCTATCTATCTAAATCTATTTATAGATATTTACTCAACTTAGCCATTACAAGGCCAAGGGAACAAGGGAACAAGTTAGTGAGTGAGAACATTGTATTTTTTCGCTTATTCTCTCTCACCCACTGCTTTATCCTCATCCATTTCTCATCTATCTATCTCAGTCTCTCCATTATCTATCTATCTATCTATCTATCTATCTATCTATCTATCTATCACTGACCATGTTTCCCATCTTTGCGCTGTGATAGCAGATTAGAGTGTAGTATCTGTGCAGACCTCCTACGATAAATGTGTTTTTACATCCTATGATTTATTGAATTTTTCATGCACGCGCATATACACCCAACACAGCATTATGCATTGCCCTTTCTTTCGTATAAGTCTAAACAAGGCATTTAAAATATTTTTCGATTTTTTTTAAACATATTTATATTTCACTTTCTTTTCCTTTCGCATTTTCTCTTTCATTATTTCAGTCTCCATTAAGAAAAATTCTTTTTCTTTTTTCCTTTTTCACTTCATTTCTCTTCTTGTTCCATCATTTACTTTTTCGGAAACTCTTTTATTTGAAAAGCCTCTTTCTTTCTTACACCTTCTTTCTCTCCATCTCTCTCATGTGTTCTCCTTCCGTTTTTCCAAACTATTTGTCCCTTCTTTCTTTTTCATGATTGGAGGTTGAAAGAGAAGACTGTTTCCTGCTCAAATTTACTCAGTTAGAAGTTTTGTGCAGTTTCCTTGTTAAAGCACATTGTGTTGTTGAATAACTCATTCACTTTCTTTCATTGCCAAATTGAAAAGACATCTACAGAAAGGTGGGCAGATTTACAAGGAATGACTCACAAGGTGACACAATTCCAGTTAATGGTGCTCTTATACTTAATTCAAGGATCAGCAGTTTCCAAAAGTATCTATCTATCTATTGTATATTTGGACAGCAATCTGTCTTTTATACAGGTTTCATTGAATATGACGGACAAGGAAAATATTGAAAATTTTATTCATTTTTTAATATTAAAATTTTCTTCTATGAGAACTAAAAGAATCTAGAAATTGTCCCTGAAACGTTTTTGGTCACTTCTTTAGCCATATTAATGTAGTTCTTTTTTTCGTATATTTGCCTGTATTTTGCTTTAAGTTATGTTATCATAATAGTAATACTAAGCCATGCTTGTCAGGGACAGTAGTAATTCCAAGGCCTTAGTTAGATCCAGTGACAGGACCCAAAGAGTGTGTGTTCTGGTTAAGGCAGTGGAGAACTTGGAGAGGGAAATTAACAAGAGATTACTGATAACTGACATCCATTAGACATGGCACGTAGAACTAGAACAGTCTATCCCAGAGAGTGAAATAAAGGATTCACTTCAACATTCCAACCCCTGAAGAAGGCCGGAGTATACAAAGGTCGAAATGTTGTGATAAATATGGCAACAAAAATGAGGATGATAGTCCAAGCAATGTAAATAGTGTACATAATACCTCATCTAATATAGACAGATACTGAAGGAGTACATATATTCACTTATTGCCTGGTTCAAAATCCTTCCCCTTCTTCTGAATAGGAGTAGAGGTTTATTCCCTGTTTCCTTCTTCAAAAATCTTCTCATTCTCCTTCACTCCCAATAACCCTTTGCATCTTACTGTCATTGTCACTTCGGTCGTGGATGAAACGATTAAAAATATATATATATATATATATAAAAGAATTTTATTTATAAATTAAATAATATTTATAAAGAAAACAATTGCATAGTTAACAAATGATTACCAAAGAAGACAATTCCATTAGAATCGTACCACTTTCTGAGAGCTAACTATATCAGTAGCTGCCTGATAGTGGAACACATGATCGACCCAGTTGCACCTGGGATATGCACACGAGAAAGAACTGTATGACATAGATATATAAACACCCACTCCAGAGAGAAGAGAGTCTCTTATGTTAGGGCAAGAATGTAAAATCTATGTTTGGAGAGAGCCCCAGGGCCACACAGCCACTTGTCTACAATAATTGATGAAGTCCAAAGTTGAATAAAATGTAATGTTACGTATGTGAGATTAAGCGCCATGGTCTCATTAAAATGTACAACAATAATGTTAGATATTTGTTCTTTCTAAAATACAATGTGCTCGTTCCAAATATACAGATATATTGGCATCAATACTCTGATTTAAAATCAATAAAAGCCTTTTCATATTTATTTGATGCGATGTTTATTTTCAGTCTTATAGTTATTGAACGCCTTGTCTGTATATAAATAAACCTTGTTATCTTATAATATATCAAATATAGACTTTTATAACATTTTCTAACAAATTGGTTGCTCATATGAACAAACCTTTTTCTCTTTATTTCCTGCTTTTGTTCATTGGTTGATTTTATGGTTGAGGTATCTAACTGGTAAAAAAAATCAACAGTATTTCAGAATGAAATAGCAAATAACATATTGTGAATGATTGTGAGTTCAATCTCTAGGTTGAATACTATAAATATAGGCTCAGTCGAAACAGGGTGGGCAATAACTTAGCAGCATTAAATAAGAACAAGACATGATAGCTGTAGACAAGGAGAGTGAAACAAGAACAATCTACTCCCATAAATTAAATAGAAGGTAGTTTCATTGTCTTCTAACAATATATAATGATTTACTGATACAAGTCTGACTAATTAACCCATAGTTAGAGGGATGAAGAGGTGGACACATACATAAGTGAATGTAATTGGTTCAACTGGAATTCTAACTCAGCTCTCCAATTCCTCAATCCGAGCAGCTTATCCATTACTCCACCATTACATTCACTTCTGTGCTAATACCATAGAGAAAGGCATGAATCCTCTTCTCCCCCCAGCTATGGGTAAATAGCTGGGGGGGGAGAAAAGGATTCTATAGCCTTGGATGGCTACTACAGAAAGAAATGGCAACCTAATGCAGGAAAAAATATCTGCCTCATCAGTCATGTATCGAAAGATACATGATTGCTAAAGTGTGTATCATGCATGGCACATAACTGACTGATATTAACTTATGTGCTAATACTCTTGGGAAAGGTATGAATCCTCTTCTTCTCCCCCAGCTATGGGTAAATAGCAAGACAGACTGGGTTCTGGATAGCAACTGGTCTACCGCAGAAAGAAATGGCAACCTATTGCGAGAAAAAATCTGACACATAACTGACTGATATTAACTTATATGTTAATACTCTTGGGAAAGGTATGAATCTTCTTCTTCTTCTACCCCAGCTATGAGTAGATAGCAGGACAGACTGGGATCTGTCACCTTGGATGGCAACTTGTCTACCACAGAAAGAAATGGCAATCTACTGAGGGAAAAAAATCTGCCTTTTTAGTTATGTATCGAAAGATACATGCTCACCTAAGTGTGTGTCATGCATGGCACATAGCTGACTGACTACAAATATTAGTTGTTGAAGCAAAGACAGAAACAATTACCAAGACAGTCAAACATCAAATGACAATAAGAGGTTTCTGTCAGAGGATTTGCATATCCTTCAGTTTAATAAACTAATCTTTTGAAAATAAATATTTAACATTTTCCAACTAACAGGCCACATTCCCTCCGACAATAAAAACATTCTTTGTGATCTATTTGAAAAGTATTTAAGCAAAGTTTCTAGACCAGACAATCCAATATGGTGAAGGGATAGCAGCATACAACAGCAGTTCATGATGATGTGGCTTCAAAGAGATTCCCTTACTCATTCACCAGTCTTCCTAGCTACATGACACTTACACTCTTCCTCACCAAGCATTCACCCATTTTCCTCACCAATCTATGTGACACTTACACTCTTTCTCACTAAGGTACATGACACTTACACTTTCTACTAACTTTTCCCTTTTTTCTCACACATACATTTATTTTTCATCTTAACAAACAACTAAAAACAAGGAACTTTTACACAGATGCATGCTGAGAAAAATTTAGTTAAAAACATGAAAATAAAAATATTTTGTATTTTTCTATTTAACTCCTTCCCCAGCATAGACATGTATATATGTTTTTACTGAAAGTGTCATTTTCAGACATGCATAAATAAACACATCCAAAACATTACACTCAAAAACCAGCTGCAGATGTGTTTATACATTGATCTTGATTCTTTTTATGCCATTCTGAGCTTGAAATGAATCCAATTCTCAACTCATACAACTGGTAAAAGTGTTAGTCACTGCTCATGTACCTTAAGGTGCTTCAGTTTCTTAGTTACTATATTAAAATATAGATATAAAAAATTTGTCTGAAAATGAAACATTTTTCCCCAAGTAAATGGCCGGGAAGGGATTAAAAATTCTTTTCGGCCATTTTCTTTGTTGTGGGTTGATTCAAATCTGTGTATTAAAGTGTAAGCATAAGCATATTCAAAAATCAGCTCTATATTCTAGACATTACAACAGTTTACATTTATAAAATATAAATAATTTTTTATTTATTTTGAAAAAAGAGAAACAATCATGATCAGCATGACTAGACTTTAAAAAAAAAAATGTTATTTTATGATCATATATCTGGAAATCATTAAACAGGTAAGCCGTTAACTGAGGAGTGACGGTTTAATTGTTTTTGAGCAGTTAACAAGTTAGGTGATAATATTTATAAGGAGAGCTGCACGGTCATTTTTTTTTAGAACTGACAGTTTATATTATAAGACTTGTTGTTAGTGTAACAGATATTAGTACCAAAAGTGGAATCGGTAAAGCAAATTCATATTTCAAGCTTGTATGTTGTGCTTACTTTCACACTAATGCCATTGAGAAAGGCATGCATCCATTTCTTCCCTTTCCAGGTATGTGTTGGATAGAAAGGTAGATTGAGCTCTTATGCACTAGGTGACAACCAATCTCAAAGAAAAACTCTGAATTCTAAACCATGGAGAAGGAAATGGGAAAAGAATCCATTACCTTTCCCAAAAAGGCAAGGCATTTAAAAAAAAAAAAAAATTAAATCAACCACATGATGAACAAAATATATGGTTGACAAGTTATTGGAGATACAGCATTTACTAAGAGCACTAACTAATGGTTGATATTTGGTTTATCTCAACTGTGATATTATCATCTGGGTTTTCAAATGTAAAATTCCTTCCTCTGGAAATGGGAAAAAAAGATATATATATATATATATACAAACATGCATGCATACATGTGAATATATGTATATATATATATATATATATATATATATATATATATATATATATAT